CTTTTGTATTTGTAGTTTCTAAAAACCTTTGAGAATAAATAACAGGATTCTCTTAAATGACTAATTACTCCAAAACTGATGTCTACATAATGTTATCCAGCAGGCAGCTGGCTTCGTCTGAAGAGAGGCTAAGAGCTCTTTTTTGTCTTGTTCATTTAAAATCATTTTCTTTCTATTTAATATCTGCAAAGAGCACAGTCACATCACAGTAGAATTTGCTGTTGTAAATTTTGGATTGTGTCCATGGGTCCCGCCTTACATCTGCATGGTGTTTAAAGCCAGTGCTTCCTTTCTTTTTGTAGGCATTCAGGGCCTGTTGCCTCATCATCCAATGTCATGCTGAATGACAGCAAATTGAAGTTGAATGTATTTATCTATAGAGAAGGACAGCACAGAACAATACACTTATTTAAGAACTCCTTGCCTTAGAAGCTGAAGGAGCTGTCTCGTGCAGGTGGCTTAAGCTCTCTGCTGCTTATCCTAACTGTGCTCCTTTATTTACTAAGGACAGGAACTGGGCACTCGGCTTCCAAACACAAAAGGACCCCCCTCGTCTACCAGATCAGTAATAAACCAACAGGATGCTTACGCCTCATTCAGAACAGTACATATAGGGCCTGTGTATTTTAAAAACAATTCTTAGCCTTCCTTTATGAGAGAAAATGAACCAAAAGTTAAAAACAAAACAAAACAAAAAAAAAACAGCTGCGAAAATATATTAACCAACTCCTAATTGTAGACTGGTGGGCTATTTACATTATGGATCACTCATAATGAATCTTTTTTCTCACTTCTGTGTGGCATCTTCTCTGCTTATATAAAATGATGTATTTGTTGACATTACTTGTGTTTCCTGTTTCTATTTACTTCACATGACAGCCTTCAGAGGTTTCTGTGTTTTAAAGTAAAACATTTATTTGCTTTCCTCATTTTCACTCAGAGATGCTATAAATACATAGTGAATAGTCTGAAGGAACTGGCTTCTCTACTCACTGGGTACTGTGAATTAAAGACTAAGATATCTATGTATCTTGAAATAGTGAGAAAAAGAGATTTAGATGAGTATGTAGAGAGAATAATACTGGAGAGTATAATAGTCTTTCCTTTCTTGAGTTGGGTCATGATTGTGTAGTTTGTTTTCCTTAAACCTATTAAATCCTAGACCTTTGATGCCTAAGACTATTTCCAATACTACAAAAATGGTTTTGAATTAGCTGCCATTTTTACTGTCTACTATTCCACTAATTATCAAATAATTGAGAATTAGTTGCATAAAATTCACAAATCAATACCACTTGTTTGGAATTTAATTTTTAAGATAATCAATTCTTCCCTTTAATAGCTACATTTAGAAGTAATAACATAAAAGTTATCACATGGGCTTAGACCCATGCCTCATCTAGTTTCAGATTATATCCTGACAAAAGCACCAAGGGACAGTTAATAGGAAGGCACAGTTGGTTTTTCTGATGTTAGTCTCATAAAGTCAGTCACAATGACACCACTTTGTCTTAATATCTTTTATTAATTATACTATATTAATTTTTATTGTAATCTTCATTTTAAAGTCTATTTTGTCTGAAATAAGTATTGCTACTCCCGCTTTTTTCTCATTTCCAGTTGCGTGAAATATCTTATTCCATCCTTTACTTTCAGTCTGTGTGTGTCTTTTGATCTTAGATGAGTCTCTTGTAAACAGCATATGCATGGGTCCTGTTTTCTTATCCACTCAGCCACTCTACATCTTTTGATTGGAGCATTTAATCCATTCAC